CACTCTTTCTAAGAGTATAGTGTCCACGCCCCCTCACCCCTCGCATCTGCCTAGAACTGCTCGCTTGACTGCTACTCTCAAATGATTTCACAACCTTGGATCCAAATATCCTTCTCAGCTCATTTTCAGCATTCAAATACTTAGGATCCACTTGCAATATAGAGGCTGTGTGCAGTTTAGCAGATTTATTTTTGTCTTTGGTAGAAATAGGCTGCTCGGACGCAGAGTTGACATTCAGAGATAAACCTTCCAGAATCAAGTCCAATTCTTTTTCACCTTCTGTTTTATTGGCAACGGCACTATCCTTGTTTTTCTTCTTCTTTTTTTTCTTTGATTTCAGACTGGACGTGGAAACCCCAGAAATAGGTTTCGACCAAGATGACTCCTCTTTATCATTGTTTCTAGCCAACGTTTCCTCCGTGGACATCAACTCATCTCCCTACAGCCAAAACAGCCAAGTTCAGATAAGTAACAACCAACAAGCATACTCCTTAATCCCTACCTTCTTTTGCACAAGCAAGAATCCAAACATCAATTTTAGGCGAAAAACCGAAGAAATTTTCTAGTACAAAATCAATATGACATTATAGCCCGATTGAATAAGCTTCTCCATAAGCCCTTATAAGAGGAGAAAATAAGAATGTAAAATGAATTGAGCTTCTCCCATAAGCTAAAATAACTTGCGTACTTAAATTTTATAAAAGCTCTCTCATCTAACTGGTGGAACATTTAATCAACTTAGGGCCTATACCATTCTCTAATACTAAAACGGGAGGCATTTAATCAACAAAAATCATATCCAACCAAAATTCAAATTCCATAGTTGTTTGTTTCTAACATATTTTCAAACACAGAGGCAAAGCTACAATTTTTAAACTGATTCAATCTCCTTGGTGCATGATGGCAACAGAAAAACAAGACCCACATGACAAATTCAAAAGGGTAAAGAGGGTGGTAATGCTTTATAAATTTAAAGTTTCAATCGAAACCAAAAAGGTGGAGTTTTCAAAAAAACCTGGTTCTCGGGCTCAGAATCGTGGTCGTTGAGGAGGTCAAAGAGGTTGATGGAGGAACGAGTGATTGACTCGGAATCGTTCTCTTCTTCTTCTTCGCTCACGTGTTGGGGAAGGTGGTGTTGCTCGTTCAGAACCTTCTTCATCAATCGCGCCGACATCCTTTTCGTCGTTCCAACTGAAGCACCAAAGGAATTCTGGGGTGCCCAGAAAGGGAAAATTGACGATGGTTCCCTCAAATTCAATCGCCCAAATGCAAAGAACAAATTCGAATGATGAAACAAAAAAAAACAGCTTGGTGTTACTCAGCTCATTTCTGTGTCTTGTGTTTTGTTGGGTGTCTCTCACATGGAAGTGGGCTCACAATGTCTAGGGCCCACTTTCTGTTTTTCTCCTTTATGGATCTTATGGGCTTCCCACCTATGCCAGCCCAAGTTTAGAGAGATCCACACAGAGATGAGAGGAGAAGAGACACTGTCAAGGGTTTTTATATTATCCAATCATAAATTATTATAAATACTGTTTTTTTTCATTTTAATGACAATTATTTTATAAATTATATCTAATTTTATTTCTAATTAGATGATAGAGTAACGTGAGTTGAAGATACTTTATTTTTTAAAATTATCACTCATTTATTGTGTAGTATTTATATTGATAAATTATGTATAATTTATGAAAAATGTCAACCATTTTCCCTAAGATACTGGTCTAGTAATTAAAATTGGATTCTTTATTCATTAATAAGTGTAAAAGTGTATTCCTCAATGATTTCCAATAACAACCCAACATAATCTTTAATAAAACTTCCTAATTGAGGTTCAGTAAAAAAAAGAACTTCCTAGTTGAGGCAGTGATTAGTAATTTAGTAAGACCCTAAATTTATAAATTTATAAGATAAGTTTTACAAATTTAAATTATGTATACTAATAAAAATATTAAGTTATGTATAAACTTTTAAGTCGATCCGGGAGACTTTTCTTGTTTTAGAGTAGGACTTCTCCCTACTCTAAAGTTTATAAGAGCTCTATCTAAATTTTAAATATATAAAATAAATTCAAATTTAATATCTATTTTCTATCAATTATAATTTATCGATAGAGTTTAAAAACTTTATTATTGATAATAGACAAATTTTTATTATATTTTCTTCTTCTTCTTTTAAGATGGGTGGTTCTCTCATAATTTATAATTAAGTTATTCTTAAGTTCAAAATAATAATAATATTTTATTTCTTTTATTTTTTAAAAAAAAAACTGACAAATTTTAGTCCTTATAATTTTTATTAAACATGGTCAAGGTTTTGTACTTTTCCTACCATAAATTTGCTATTCTTAAAAAAAGAAAATCAACTTTAGTCTTTTTACTTTAATCCACCATTTTTTTTTTTTAAGATGGGAGAGACTAAATTTATATACTTTTTTAAAGAATAAGAACCAAATTTTAAATATATATATTATCGAACGAAGTACATCAAAAAAAACTTATTTTTAAAACAAGTAAATCTCTCATTTTCTCTCTCTACATATATATAAACAAGAACTTTAAACACACTTAATAAAAAATACATGACTAAAATTATATTATTTTTTAATTTTAAATCATAAACTTTCTAATTAAAAAATGAATGTTCTACAATATATTTACTCGTAAATTTTGATAAATTAACATTACGATATTATTTTAAATTATATCAATAATTAATGACTTATTTCAGTTTAATAACGAGATATGAGAAGTTAAATTTAATTGTTACTTAATTTTGGTTGTTGCAATATTTTTTTTTCTGAATAAAATAAAATTCCAGCTTTGCCCGGAGTTATCTTATATATTTATTTATAATCGCCCACGTAATTTGAAAGTCTGTAACATTTCTGTAGCAGACGTTGTCGTCATCCTTTTTCCATGTGCTTCTACTTCTCAACACATGTTCACCATTTTACTTTCCTTGTCTCTGTCTATCTTCTTATTTATGATGGAAAATTCTGATACCTATAAATACAAGCCATATACACACGCTCTCCAAGTTGGCAAGGCTCAACCCGAATGAGCTCGAAAACGGGCGACCTACTAATCACGAGTGAACTGCACGCAGAGTTCACATCGTGATAAGACCTGAACCTACTCTCGAAATTACCCACATCTCCTCGACCTAGGGAAACCTCAGCCTTGCCCTTGGTCGACTTGACGGCACCCACCAACTCGCCAACTTGGGCAACATAAGCCTCGTTGGCCTTCACAGCTACCTCTAACGAATTCTGGGTCTTGGAGAAATCCCTCCTCAAAGCCAGAAGCTCAGTAACGCCCTTCTGCGCTCTTTCTAGCTCGGCATCATGCTTCTGCCAACGCCGCTTCCAGTGATCCATGATGGCGATAGACCTCTGCATGAAGACATTCGCCGAGTCTAGACCCTCCACCGACCCCACCTTCTCTATCATGGCCTTGTCGGCCACAAACTTCGGATCCTCCTTATAGAACCTCTCGGTGGTAAGATTGGCATTCCACAGCGATGTCACATCAGGTGACATGCTAACATGGTCCAACCTCGCCAAGGGCCGACTGACGTCGAAGCGCTGGACGATGCACCTAGACTTCGAAGCTAAGGACGTGCCAGGGTTTGCCGAGGTCATGGTTTGAGGGGACGACGTTGGAAGGGCGGACGACTTAGGATTGTCCTCGCCAACCCTAGCCGAAGTTGACACCAGAGCCACCTACAAACATAACATACATTTCAAAAAAAAAAATTTCCTAAGTTACACACTATCCGTGTAAACCAACAAAAGATAACACAAGTACCTATCGGATCGGGGTAGCCTCTAGCACGAGCCCCTCCACAAGTACCTCAGCTCCAGGACTTGCCGTAAGATCAATCAGAGAAACAGGTTCAGTGACCCTCTAGGACGCCTCTTCAAGATTGGGGGTGGCGCCGGAGCCCTCACCAACCACACCTTAGGATCCCTCTTTCTTTTTCGGTTGGTCTTCAAGGGGGTGACCTCCACCTCGCCAGGCTCGGGCACATCCGACTCCTCGGTATTGTACCTAGCCTTAAGCTCGCGCCATTTACTTTTTCCCATTAACTCTGCAAACAAGCATTGCAAACACAATGATTAGAACAACAACACAACTCAGAAGAAAAACAACAAATACAATATCCAAATACTCACGCTCCAACCCCTTTTCTTTATTCTTCAAACCTGCCAAGGACAACACGAGTTTGCTATCCAAAGGGCGCGACAACTCCTCCTGGTCAGCAATGTCGTCCCTGTCTGAGTCTGACAAACGCACACAACTTGACCCGTTGAACTTTACCGGGCTCTGTTTCCAGAAGAAGGGGAATCTCGGTTCCCCCCAAAATGAAACACCTCCTCAGTCATCGGATCGTTGTTTATAGGTTTGATCTGGAAGAAATCCTCTTTAAAGTTCTTGTACGATTGGGAGTAAAGTTGAAATAACCCTCCAGTCTTACTCCCACTCAAAGACACCCAACCAAGAGGAGGCTCGCCCAGCTTAAGCTGGTAGAAATGAAGGAAGATGGGAAAAGAGGTATTCATCCCCAAAGCCGAACACAGAACCTGAAAGGCCCGTAAGAACCCCCAACTGTTGGGATGCAAATTAAAAAGGGGCCACGTTTATAAATCTAAGGAACCCACACTCAAACTCGGTGAAGGGTAGGAAAACACCAAGGTCCCTAAATAAACAGCGGTACATGTAGAAGAATGGAGTGTTCACAGTACTCGCCATATACACACGCTCTCCAAGTTGGCAAGGCTCAACCCGAATGAGCTCGAAAACGGGCGACCTACTAATCACGAGTGAACTGCACGCAGAGTTCACATCGTGATAAGACCTGAACCTACTCTCGAAATTACCCACATCTCCTCTAACCCACTCATACCCAGGGAGGGAGATGGCGGAATTATTTAATATTTTATTTTATTAATTCAAATTGATAGATTAAAATATATGAAGTCAATAAAAGTAGCTGTGGGACGAACGACACACATAAATCATAAATGTATATTTGGAAATCATAGATTGAATACATTGAAGATGGAATTTTGTCGCCGTACCAATAGAAGACCTAGAAATCAACTTGCCTAAAATGGGAATTATTTAGGGAATATCGACCATGCGTATTACTTTTATTTTTCTTTTATAATTTTTTTTTAAATCAAGACAATATACGACCTTGCACAACTAGAATCGACCGCCTGTGAATTTCTTTAATTCATCATATCAAATTTTAAATTTCTGATATCGATTTTCAACCTTTTATTTTGAATTAATTATCTATATTTTTTTATGATTGACTATAATTTGTAATTAAAAAAAAATTACAATTGCTACAAGTGTTCTTTGACCTATTATATCTATATATGGATTATAGTATTTTTTTTTTTACTCTTTTTTAATAAATCTCTTTTGCTTAGTAAAAGGAAATAGTAAAAAATTACAATATCAATCAATTAAAAATTATTATTGATATAATTTTTAAAATATAATAATGTTAACAAATTTACTATATAACATTTTGTTATCGAAAATGTCTTACACATTCAATTCAAATGTTTTTATATATATTTTATATGTTCTATGATTCTATCAATTAATATACAAGTGAATCACTTATTTAATCTTTTAAATTTTAATGATCAATAATGACTTAATTCATCTTTATACTTTATAATTCAATAATTATAATAACAAAAAATATAATGCTAATTATCTAAGATTAACATACAAATAATTATTAGATATACATGTAATAATAAATATATGTAATATGAAATTATCAATTAAAATCATAAATGTTTCTTATTGAAACTACGACACAATAATTCAAGTCAAAAAAATATAAATTCTTGTTGTCACCGAACAACAATTAGAACGAGTTGTATTGTATAGCTAAATTGTTGAGTTATGTTGTCAGTTGTGAACTCATAACTAGAAAAGAAGTATTATTTTAAAAATATTAAAATATTTCACTGTATGAATATGTGTTATAATATTTTGAAAGTTCAAACATTAAAAAACTTTTCTTCAATTTGTTACTTAATAAAATCAATGTATAAAATAATTTTATAATTATTTATTAATTTGAATTAAAGAAACAAAATATCAAATAATTTTTAATTTTTAATTTTTTTTTATATTTAATTTATATATTAAAAACATTAAATTCAATAATTAAATTGTTAAAATTTAAAATAGAACAAAAATTATTAAATAAAACAACTCTAAATAAATCTCTCTTTTATATATATATAAAACCAACTAATTAAAAAAAAAAAAAAAACACGAGAGATGCTTCTTACACGGT